TTTCCGTGTGGGCTAAACTTTATTCATATAAAAAAATATTCCATTTGTTTGTTTATGTCAATATCATTATTTATGCGAAATAAAAATTGAAAATTCAGTTATAGAAATTTCTTGTAAATTTAATTAGGATTATTTTAAGACCTGAAAATCGAACAATAGTTGAAAATTGTTAGTTTTACGTTATTTTTAGTGATATAGTATACATCCTATCTCAAAAGTACCAGACGAATGAGAACCAGACGAATGAGAATTTGGCATTTTTTGTTTAAAAAATAGAAAAATAACATTAAATGAAAAAATCCTTCAGTACTATCTTACAGAGAATAATAATCTACAAAACATAAGACTATAAAATAACCAAAAAATAAAATATTTTTTTAAAAAATGTATGCCAGACGAATGAGAATTTGTCTGTTCACAACACAATCTCCTTCACAAATTGAGAAATCTTGGTTAATAGATTAGAAGATTCAATAAAACCCGATTGGTATGACATTTAGTTTAGTTTAATTAACAACTACAACGAACAGTAACTTCTTCAGAATGTTGATTTTTAATAATCTTTACATTTTTTGCACTGCCAGACGAATGATAACAAATTCAGGGGACAAACTTCGCGAAGATATTTTATAAATAAGATATAGAGAAACGTCATAATTATTTCCATATTAGTAATCTACAACTATTCAAAATTACTAATTCAGTATGAATTTTCCGCAAAACATTTGAAAAGTGATATTTATTCTCAATATGAAGTGTCATTCTCCCAAAGGGACATGCCAGACGAATGAGAATTTAGCACTATAATGTGTATTTTTTGCAAAAATTATTTTTTTTTCATTGGTTTTTTTTCTGTGCCATAATAGAAACCATTAAGATTTACAATTTTCTTAAAAGTAAAACTAGCTAAAACAAACGCGCGTGAATACTTGCTGGGCGCAACTGCCATAACATAAGAACCCTCTGATTATCTTAAAAATAATGTAAGAAAATAAATAAATTTTGCAATAATTTTAATTAATAGTACCCAATGCATTCAATATCATTTTAAAAAAAATTAACAAATTATGCATAATTTTTACATAGTCTTATATAGTAATTACTTAACAATTATTGAAAAATTTTCTGTCTACTTCATAAAATAAACAAATCATAATATTGAATACTATTTCTCATAAACCGTTTTTTTAAAAAGGTTTGTATCATATTTCTAAATAGTAACAGTTATCGTCAAACAGAAACAATAATACTTCAATTAAGTATTTTTCACACTAATTTCATTCTTTTTTTTAATAATATTTAGAAAATTAAATCTAATAGCGTTCCACAAATGTAAGAATGGATGTCGAAATTTTAACAATTCTAAGAAATATGTTAAACGTTGAAACATTCATGATATTTTCGTGTCTTAACACTAAGGGGCCATTCATAAACCATGTAACCTCTTGAAGGGGAGGGGGGTCAAGCAATTGACTACGACAAAGGGAAAAATGGCGCTAATAGGGGAGAGTGGGGCAAGACGGGGTACCGGGTAAGACGGGGTACCGGCCCTATTTAACAAACGAATTAACCAATAGCGATTATATTTTACACAATACTGCACCGAGACGATAGTTTCTTGTTTATAAAACCTAAAAGCCATGTAATTATTTAGACTCAAATGAAGGCTGGCCTGCTTTTTTTGACTGCGGCCAATGGGCTCACTGCAGTTATGCATGAAGATGAAGATGCAACTTTTACTTGTAAAATTTGTCGACAGAAATAGGTTGTTTTTTGTTAGTACCCCATCTTACCCGCCGGTGGGGCAAGATGGGGAGATTTGCAATTTTTTCAATATTATTAATTATAAGCTTTTTTAAGAAACAGATAGCCTTTGTACGTCTTTTTTACGAAAGACTGATTTCCAAAAAGGATAATTAAAAATAATAATAAAGTATATATTCGATAATAATTTTCGTTTTTTTTGCGCTTTAAACCTTAAGTATCCCGTCTTGCCCCACTCTCCCCTACATGTAATAGCGTACTACGGGGGGAGGGTCAACATTCCCAAAAAATGGGGCTACGTGGCTTATGGACGACCCCTAACAGATGATAGTAAAAATTAGAAGTCAATCTGCCACCATTTGCGAAGTTAGGAGTTTATTTTTATAAAACACCTATTTTTCTAAAATGTCAACGTAATCTTAATCACGCTTTAATATATTCTTGCTGAACACGAATATCGTATTTATTTTCAATTAAATTCACGTTGTTTCACAAAATATAAGAAAAATTGAAATATGGGTTCCGTACTCCCCCATGGGTCAAGAATAGTTAGAGCTAGTTTGGCACGGAAAAATCCTGCTAATGCGACTGGAAATTATATTCTCACGTGCCGGAAAAATACTAAGCCAAAAGGGCGCGAACCAAGGGTACTTACCCTTGGTCCTTAAAACGACCGCCAAGCGAGGCATCTATCCGACTGAGCTAATCTGTCGGTATATTAAACTATTATTATCAATATTAATAATAAAAATGGAAAACATTGTTTGATTCAATTAAATATTTTATTTGTCTATTATCTATTACTTAGATATTTTTACCAAATTTGCATTACTTAGGTCAAATAAATAGAATAATTCAAATTAATAAATATTGCTTCAAATCAATTATTATGAAAATTGCTTGATTCAGTAATTCATGTTCTTTTAATTCAAATATTTATTTGAATCAAGAAAATAATTTTTCCAAAGAACTACAGATTTGTTTGTATCAAATATTCATAATAAATCATTATTTTATTTGAGACTAATATACCATTAATTGGGTAAAATAATTAATTATTATTTATCCCAAATGCTTCTAAGGACTCACATGCTTGGAAATATTAACATTAACCCTTAAACCGCACCCTGGGTGTGCGACACCCATATTCTAGCTTTTTACTCTAATATCTCATTTAAATTCGTAAAAATTGAACATGTGTTGATATTGGACAGTACATTTTGTACTTAACTTCATGTTTCGTGATTGATATTAGTCTGTCAAGTGTCTTTGTGTATTTGATAACTTTATGAAGTTGACAGCGAAAAATTTCTGCTTGTCTGACACCCAGTTTTTGGTTTAAGGTGATTTAAGTAGTTTAAAAAAACCCTTTTTTAATTATTAATATTAAATAAATCATTATAAAACCTATTTTCCTTCAAAATAGATGTACTGAGCAATATAAGATAATTTTTCAAAAAGATAATATCCTATTCCAGCTTAAAGAACACACTTAAAAGTCCCCGGGTGTCGCACACCCAGTGTGCGATTTAAGGATTTTTTCGTAAGTGCACTGAGAAAAAAGAGGGCGCGTTGCAGCACATTTTCGATTCATGTTGGGCGACTCAACCTGATTTCAGATTCGTAATCAGCGACCCTGAAAATCCTCAAATATTCAGTTTCAAGCCAATCTGATCAATTTTTTATTTCGTTGTCCGCCATATTGGATCCGCTATTTTGAATTTTGGAAAACTAATGTTAGATTCGTAATCAGTGACCCTTAAAACCACTGAGTAACAAGTTTCAAGCAAATTCAACGAATTTTGAAAAAATTTCCGCCATCTTGGATCCGCCATTTTGAATTTCGAAAAACTGATGTCAGATTTGTAATTAGCGATCCCAGAAACCTTAGGGTACCAAGTTTCATAAAAATGCATTAAAAATTTTTTCAAGGGGTTAAATACGTCAAATTCCAATTTCATCCAATATATTTCTCCTTAATCCATTTTAAATACTTCAAATTCCATCCAACATCCAATCAATCGAAATTTCAATTCTATCCAATATTTCTTTTCTTATCTTTTAAATAAAAAATCAAATGTTATTCAAAACAGGAAAAAAGTAAATGTCAATTTCTTTATCCTTTAAATTCAAAATGAATAAAACTATATCAAATGGTAATATAATATTTAGAAAAATATAACTATACCACTCAAGAAACACTTTAATTAACTCTCTACAAATTGTAGAGAAATTATATAAAAAACAGAAAATATCTAAAGTTATCCAAAATGAATAAAACTATATTAAATAGTAATGTGATATATTCAAAAAATAAATATACCACTCACGAAGCACTATCGTTATCTCTCTACACTACACTGAAAGAATTTTTGGGAGGCTGCAGGCTTTACATAAGTGCCGCTAGAGCTCGCTGCCTCAAGCTCGCAGTTAACCTCAAAAAGGCGAGAATCTACTCCCGAAAGGTAAGCAGCAACTCCTCAGGGGCAGCAGCTCACCTTTCGGGAGTAGATGCTCGCTTTTTTGAGATGAGCTGCGAGCCCTGAGCAAGGGGCACTAATTTCGGACATTAAAAGTCAGCAGCCTCCCCAAAAATTCTTTCAGTGTACATACAAGGAGAGATGTCCCAGTTAGTTCCGTGAGGGGAAGTAGCCTTCCCCCACCATACGGCACACCAAGTTGAAACTGAGTCCCGAGCAACCCTCACAGCGGAGATCGCTCGGACCCTTAAACCCTCATTAAGTAAAACTGTTAATGACTTTTTCTATAAAATATAATTTTTTTAAATAGTAACATTTTTTATTTTCTTTAACATATTTAAATTCCTTACTTTCTCACGATTCTATACATAGGTTGTTTACCAAAAAAAAGTTGAAATTAAAAAAATTAATTATTTTATCCAGATACATAGAATGAAGTTAACTCTACCAAAAACCATATACCTATTATTAAATAAATATTTACTGTTTCACATAGGTTTTATCTAAATCAGTTTAATGCTATTTGACCCAATATTTGCAGTATTTGAAGCAAATACCATTTAACTTAATCTTTAAATTTTAACATTTTTTTGGTAAACAACATATATGTATAAAATCGTGAAAAAGTAAGGAATTTAAATATGTTAATTTAAAAGTTAAAAATGTTACTATTTAAAAATTTATATTTTTCATTATTAATAGAAAAGTCATTAGCAGTTTTCCTTAATGAGGGTTTAAGGGTCCGAGCGACCCCCGCTATGAAGGTTGCTCGGGACTCAATTCCAAGTAGCCCTCGCAGCGGGGGGCTCTATGTTCCTTCTAACGGCGAACAGACAAACTAAATGCGAACAGACAAAATATATATGGGACATTCCACGTCAACACGGACAGAGCTCTAAACAAAAATTGCTTTGATGGATTTAAACGTTCTAGGGCTTAAAAGATTTCTACGTTCATGTACTTTAAGTTGCCGATGGGCGTTTTTTGAAAAATTCTATTTCCGATGCCAATAGAACTGTCAAAAGTCAAAAAGTCCAAAAATCTAAAAATACTTTTATGAATTAAAAGCAAAAAACGAGGTAAATTATTCTGTAACTCATTCTTTATCAGTTTTTAGGGTTCCCGAATATAAATCTAAAGTTTTTTTTAAAAAATCCAAAATAGCGAATTCAATATGGCGGACAAAATTCAAATTTGATCAGATTCGATGAAAACTTGTTACTCGGGGGTTTTTAGGGTCGCTGATTACGAATCTGATGTCACTTTTTAAAAATTCAAAATGTCGGATCCAATATGGCGCAAAAAATTTTCAAATTTGATCCGATTTCCTTAAAACGTGTTACTCGGGGGCTTTTGGGGTCGCAGATTATGAATATGAAGTTACTTTGTGTTTGAGACTTCAAATTCATAATCAGATACGCTAAAAACCACCGAGTAACACTTTTTAATTAAATCTGATCAAATTAAAAAATTTGATCCGCCATTTTGAATTTCTACAAAGTAACTTCATATTCATAATCTGCGACCCCAAAAGCCCCCGAGTAACACATTTTAAGGGAATCGGATCAAATTTGAAAATTTTTTCCGCCATATTGGATCCGACATTTTGAATTTTTAAAAAGTGACTTCAGATTCGTAATCAGCGACCCTAAAAACCTCCGAGTAACAAGTTTTAATCGAATCTGATCAAATTTGAATTTTGTCCGCCATATTGAATTCGCCATTTTGGATTTTTAAAAAAAAACTTTAGATTGATATTCGGGAACCCTAAAAACTGATAAAGAATGAGTTACAGAATAATTTACCTCGTTTTTTGCTTTTAATTCATAAAAGTATTTTGAGATTTTTGGACCTTTTGACTTTTGACAGTTCTATTGGCATCGGAAATGGAATTTTGCAAAAAACGCCCATCGGCATCTTAAAGTACATGAACGTAGAAATCTTTTAAGCCCTAGAACGTTTAAATCCATCAAAGCAATTTTTGTTTAGAGCTCTGTCCGTGTTGACGTGGAATGTCCCATATATATATGCAAACGGAATCGATCTTCTCATCTCTGAAAACTGACATAGACGATTATCTTAAAAAATTTTTTAAATGCTGCCTCATTTTGTTATTTATGCTTTCGTAATTAACAGTGTTTGGCATAACATTATAAAATAATGATGTTGCAAATGCTATTGCATATACTCCGCATTCAACACTACCCATTGGTTGTTGATCAACAGTAACAAAAACTACTGGTGGCTTAAAAGGAGATAATCTACTTAAATAATTCAACTGATCTCCATTCAGACATTTTTTATTAAGACTATCAAAAATATAAATTCTTGTTGTAATAAATTTTACGAGGCCTTATACGGTGTAAACAATTTTATTCATTTTGACGACGTTTCGATACATTGAGTATCCTCTTCAGGTCAAATAATTGAAAATAAAAAACAAACAGTCGTTCAGTCATTTCATCGAAAATAATAATAGTAATAATAATAATAATAATAATAAATTAATGGAAACCCTCTTTATGAGATGTTTCTGTTTTCTTTTGTTTTTTCGATGAAATGACAAAACGACTGTTTGTTTTTTATTTTCAATTATTTGACCTGAAGAGGATACTCTATGTATCGAAACGTCGTCAAAATAAATAAAATTGTTTAAACCGCATAAGGCCTCGTAAAATTTATTACAACAAAATAAATGAAAACGGATGTAAAATTTATCAAGGAATATAAATTCTTACTCCATCATAATACGTACAAATCCAATGACCCCTCTTTTTGATTCTCTTTCCAAAATTTTTCCAAATTCATAAATATGATTATCACTTAACATTTTTTTATTATTAAGTATTTCTCTATATTCTCTAGCACTTAAATTAACATGGCCTTCTATTCTCGACATTTTTTAATCAATATTTTCTTCTTAATCTAATTTTAATTCCAATTTATGGGTTTTGATAATAATAATTACGTTTTCCCAATTTATATTTTCTACATCACAATTTCATCAATTCTTACAAAATCATTGTCTCCTATATCAATAATACAAACCAACTAATATTTAACTCATAAAACAATATTCAAGATTTCAACTAATAAAGTGTATTTAACTCCATTTCAAATAAGCCACATTCCAATTTTATCCAATATTTAATTATTTAACCAACATATCAATATTTAACCAATCAAATCATATTTAACCCATAAAACAATGCTTTTGAATTCAACAACCAATATTCTATTTAATTCATTTTCAATATGTCAAATTCCAATTTTATTCAATATACATATCCAATAAGCCCTAAATTCAATTTTATCCAATATATATTCTGTTTAATATATTTCAAATTCGTCAAATTCCAAATTCATCCAATTTACATATCCAATAAGCCTACATTCAATATTATCCAATATATTCTATTTAATTTATTTCAAATTCGTCAAATTCAAATTTTATCCAATATATTCTCTTTATTCTATTTTAAATACGTCAAATTCCAATTTCATTCAATATATTTCTCTTTAATCCATTTTAAATGCATCAAATTCCAATTTCATCCAATATATATATTTCTGTTTAATCCATTTTAAATTTTAAATACTTTAAATTCCAATTTCATCCAATATCCAAATTTCAATTTTATCCAATATTTCTTTTCTTATCTTTTATTTCATCCAATATCCAAATTTCAATTTTATCTAATATTTCTTTTCTTATCTTTTATTTCATCCAATATCCAAATCTCAATTTTATCCAATATTTCTTTTCTTATCTTTTATTTCATCCAATATCCAAATTTCAATTTTATCCAATATTTCTTTTCTTATCTTTTAAATAAAAAAATCAAATGTTATTTAAAACAGAAAAAATATTAAATTTTATTCAAAACAGAAAAAAAATGTCAATTTCTTTATCCTTTAAATTCAGAATTAAAAAAACTATATCAAATGATAATATAATATTTAAAAAAATATAACTATACCTCTCACGAAACACTTTAATTAACTCTCTACAAATTGTACAGAAATTATACAAAAAAGAAAAGAAAATATCTAATGTTATCCAAAATAAAAAAAAGTATTTCAAATAGTAATGTGATATATTCAAAAAATGAATATACCACTCACGAAGCACGATTGTTATCTCTCTACACTACATACAAGGAGTGATGTCCAAGTTAGTCCCGTGAGGGAAAGAAGCCTTCCCCCACCATACGGCACACCAAGTCAAAACTGAGTCCTGAGCAACCCTCACAGCGGGGATCGCTCAGACCCTTACACCCTTATTAAGGAAAACTGTTAATGACTTTTTCTATAAAAATACAAATTTTTTAAAAAGTAACATTTTTTATTTTTCATTAAAATATTTAAATTCCTTACTTTCTTACGATTCTATACATATGTTGTTTACCAAAAAATGTTAAAATTAAAAAAATTTATTATTTTTCCAGATACATAGAATGAAGTTAACTCTACCAAAAACCATACCTATTATTAAATAAATATTTAACTTAATCTTTAAATTTTAACATTTTTTTGGTAAACAACATATGTATAAAATCGTGAGAAAGTAAGGAATTTAAATATGTTAATGAAAAATAAAAAATGTTACTATTTAAAAAATGTATATTTTATAGAAAAAGTCATTAGCAGTTTTTCCTAATGAGGGTTTGAGGGTCCAAGCGACCCCCGCTGTGAAGGTTGCTCGGGACTCAATTCCAAGTAGCCCTCGCAGCGGGGGGCGTTTTGCTCCCTCTAACGGCGAACAGACATACTAAAAGCGAACAGACAAAATATATATATGCAAACGGAATACGGACTTTAATATTGTTAATATTATTCAGATCATTTTTTAAAATCCCAGTAATTTTCCCAGTTTTCCATTTTTTTGAGTTGCCATCCTGATTTTAATTTTAATTATTTTTATAATACACATATATTTTGGTTGAAAAAAACTTCAAAAAAGTAACTTACTAATTTTCTACCACGTTTTTTAAAAAAATCTTTCAATTATACTAATTTGTAATGTTAGAATTTTTCGCTAATTAAAAATTTTTAAATATGAATGAAGACTTCGACTTTATCATCAAATAGTGACATCTATTGGAATTCAATTATATTCTTTTCTTTAAAGTTAGGTGTTTCATATGATAATTATTTCAATATGGTTGTCGATAAATAATTATCAATCTAAATTCTTTATGCTTTAAGAAAAGCTGCGTGAACGAATTCACTATGCATCTGTGAGGTCTCGAACCCCAGTTCATAGCTTTTTAATGTATGAAAAAAGTTAATTATTTTGAAGTAAATGAAATTCATCATGTTTTACGAATACTTTAAAATTAAGAAGTAACAAACCTAATTATAGATAACTTAAAAACTTTGTTCTACATAAACAATAATTTACTAAAATGTAATAATAATCCCGTTTATTAAATTTTATTTTTCGATTCTAAATTTTTTTCACTTACACATAAAAAATTCATTCCCAGTAAAAAAAAGTATTGAGTGAGCAGAGTACACATAATAAATTGAATTTACCATGTGAATAAATGAAGTGGTGCGTTTAAATGGACTGAAAGAAATCTACTGTTACCGACAGAAAGTTCCTAGAGAATTATGGTAAATTCAAATAAGAAAACAAAACAATAAATTTTATTGTTTATCACAATTCTCTAGGAACTTTCTGCCGGTAACAGTAGAAAATAAATCAAAAAACCACTGCCAAGTTGTATATTTTTTGTATAATTTTGGTGCTCATTTCATGTACACTTTACTTCATCATAGAGATAAAAATAATAGAAATATATGAATAACTTTTTATAAATATGGTTAAAGTGATTGAATTTTGGGTCAATTAATTTATTTTTGAATACCCTACAAGATAGTTGCAATAATTTAATAGTTAAACAAAAATTTTCAAACAAAAAAGTTGAGAAAATGTCATTTTCACAAGTTTTGGTTTTTAAAATACCAATAATTTAGAAAATTTATTATCGAATTAGGTTCGAAAATAGGTCAATCGCAGCTTTTTTTAATGTTCTACAAGTTGGTAACGATAATTTTAATGTTACTTCTACATTTTTCAACAAAATTTTCAAAAAAGTCTTATTTTCCAAAATTTTTGATTTTTAAAAGTTTAATAACTCCGGTTAATATGGACGAAAAAAGTTCAATTAGGGCTCAAAAGATGCGTCTAAAAAAACTCTATAAAATTATGGAAAACGGAATGACTTTTTTTAAAAATGTCATTTTTGAACTCTTCAGGTCAAATAACTTAAATATATGTCAAAAAATCGAAATCGAAAAATTTTGGTATTACAATACTTCCTCTATAAGGAAGTAAAGTAAAAAAAATTGGAAAACAGAACAGTATAAAAGCGAAAAAACATATTTACATTTGCTGACTTGATTAAAGTCCATTTTGTTACTATTTTCAACCAATTAGCTTAGGCGGCCAACTTTCCAGTGTGCACGTTCTAGAAGAGTTCTAGAACAATTAATGGAAATAAAGAACAGTTCTAGAACGGTTCCAGAATTGTTCCAGTACGTGCACACTGGGTTAGGACCACTCGCTCCTAATGTATGTCAATTTTGGTAAAATTGCTTATTTGTGAAAAATCTAATTGTTTTTCCTTCTTTATATTTACTGATATAAACATTTTAAATTTAAAAATGCCTAAAATTATTGTTCATATAATTGTTAAATAGCAATGATAACACAAGTCAACATGAAATTTGCGCCTGACATTTAAGATATTTTTTATGATAGATTTATCGACAGATATGAGGAAAAAAATTATATATTATCAAAAAGTTTGTTTCTATAGGTAGGAGAACGTTTTACCATATTTTTGAAATTTTTTTTTTAAAATGAAAATTTATGATTTTCAGAATGAAATGATCAATCACAAAACTGTAAGGTACATAATAAATCGTACTTTACAGATTTTTGATTGACCATTTCATGAATATAAAGACCACTAATTATCTAATAATTATATATAAATGGGTGATTCTTCTGAAAGTGACATTTTTGATGTCTCGATTAATTTTATAAACTCTACTCACTAATAATTGTTAACCATTTTCATAATAAAAATTTAGCACTAACTTTTCATTAAAAAAATAAATTAAACAATTTTATTCTACTGAATTTATGCACGAGCTAAAATAATTTCATCTCCGAAGCCTTTTTATTTAACATGTCTCCAATATGACTTCTATAAGAAAACTTAAATTTCTATGCTTTTTTCCAACTGTTAGAAATTTTTCAAAAATATTGTCAGAAAGTACAATGTTTTTCTGTCATAACATGTTTTTTAAAAAATTTTAGACCTCCGTTTTATATATGATAAAAATGTTAAAACTTTGTCTTCGGTTTTAGGTTAAAATTACCTCACGATAATTAATGATATTTTTGTACATTAAAAATATTCTTAACAAAATTTTAATGCATACTTTAATAATGTTGAGAATTTAATGTTTAATTTACCTTTATATTACTTGTGAAAAGTGGAGTAATTACTGCTTTTATAAATAGTCAAATTTTACTTATTGGCCCGAGCAAAAATTCAATTTTATCTCTGAAGCCTTATTTTTAATTAAATAATTGAATACACGAATATCTTTGACAAAATATTTTTGACTATAATATAAAATTACGTTGTGAAATTTGTATATTTTACTAAAAAGTATATTTAAATTCCGCCCTAATGTGAATAAATGTAAAAAAAATTATTTTTCATCTCCGAAGCCTTTTCTTTGAAATGGGCAAGTTTTTCTTTTGTTTTTAGTATTTACCTGCATTAAATTGAAAATATTAACCTAAATAACCACCAAAACAATATATATTTATTATTAAAATATGCAGATTATTATTTTTTAAACAGTGTAATTTTATTATAAATTAAGTGAATGATATTAGTGTGTATATTTAATAAAAAATCTAACGCGAAACAAATATAACAAATCAATTGGTGCAACGCAAAGTGAATCTTTTAAAAGAAGAAAAACTTTAATATTTTGAACAATTAATTTTGCTGAACTTGAATTCTCACTCTTGAGTACGAAATAAAGTAAGTTCAATAGAAAAAACCATATTATTAAAAAAAAATAAGTTGAAGAATCGAACTTTAAAAGTAGCACTTTCAGAAGAATCACCCATATATATTAGACCTGTATTAGACCCTACGAAGGATTACCACAAACAATACGAACCCTTAAACAATAGCCTTTGTAAATGAGGGACCCAGGTAATAATATTTTCTTTCTTCCTTCATCGCAAGGAAAACCATAGATAAAAGTCAATATATATATATATATACTTTTATAATTGAAACACAAAAGGTAACGTCTGGGTAACGGCGCCAGATACGCCGGCTCTGGTTTCTCTCTTTCTCTAAGGGCAATATAAATAAGAATGTCTTTCTTTACCTAATTTGCATATCTACTCGTTTCAGTATAGAAAATATGCAAAATAAATATATTTTCTATATTTTATTAAAAAATGGTGGATTTGTAACATTTTATTGTAAAGCGTCTCGTTTTAGATTTCCACATGGCCAGACAACTAACGTACTTAATTTTTTATTTAGAAAAAAACGAAAATTTGTTATTTCCTATACATCAACATCTATCGACACACGTAGGATTTTTTTTATATTACTTAATTTTATTTTTATTAAAAATTTCGTGGATTTTTTTGAAAATTATTCCTTTTCTGTTCCAATAAAATGCTGTACAGCAGCCATTTTGCAATAAAATTTTTTTGTAAAAATATATTTTGCTATCAATACTCAAGAAATAAAACGTACTTTACACATTTTTAATTGAACATTTCATGGAACCAAAAAAAATTCTTAAAATATGTCTAATTTTCGTGATGACCCCCCTTAATATATCTGCAACTGCTACAAAAGCAAACTTTAAAAAGAATATGTTTATTTTTTCTTTATTTTAGTGAATAATAAATAGAACAATCATTATATAAACCCATGTGCAAAAATTTTTCGTTTTTTTTTAGCTGTGTAATCATTAACTCTAAAATCAATTTTAACAAAATTGACATAAATTACATACAAAAATAAATTTAAACCCATCACACTTGTCAAGTCCACTCTAAAACTTTTTGAAAACCTTCTTAACATTTTGAGATAGGTTTTTTTAAATTTATCATTCCAAAGTTAAAAACCTTATAATTTGTTTATTTTTCACTAAAAAATGAATAAAATTGTTATCATTATTCAAAAGTAGAGAGAAAAATTAAACTTTTCTTCTCTTTTAAAAAAATAAAAAAAGGAATACTTTTGAGTTATCTGACATTAAAAATAAATCTACATTGAAAAAAAATTTTAATTCATAACAGAAAAATTTAGCTTCTAAAAAATAAAAAAATACATTTAAATGTTTATATCAGTAAATATTACTGATAAAATTAAAGCAATTACATTTAAAAATAAGAATTTAATAAATAAATAAAAAGTGTTTGTATATTTTGTAAACGAAACCCTAGATTTGGGAGTCAGTGTAACTCTCACTAGTTCCATTTTTTTATTAAGTGGTAAGCCACTGTAAATGTAATAAAAGCGCCTGTTTTCAAGAATTTTTTTGATATAAGGAAAAGGAATACAATTATATTTATGTGAAATATGATTAGTCTTATATTTAAATAAAAGAATACAAATTAACAATAAAAGATATTACAAAATGGCGAAACTACAGACAATTTTTGTAAAGTGCTTTTTCTTTGAAGAGCTTCGCGGCACTCGGGTGCAAAATTGAATCTGGAACAAAATATAAAATTTTTTCATTATCTACATGAAAATAGCTAAATAAACACGTAGGGATTTTAAAAAATATTAATTTTTGTGTACTTTAAAAAAAATCAAAATCCTTTAAAAAGAATCATTTTTCGACAAAAAAACGTTTAAACTTTTATAATGTATAATACATATTTATGAAAAAGTGAAAATTTTTACTATTAAAAAATGTTTACCATTAATCTGCAATTCCAGCACCATAAAAACATCTTTCTGTATTTGTACTATCTTCTATGCAGTTTCTGCTCATCAAGTAGTCAACCGACGCAGGTAGTCGTTCCGAAGGGGCCCAGCATCCACGGTAAAATTGGCTCTTCGTTCCATGGGAACGCGATGTGAACGCTTGCTAACGTCACCCATTTGATCAACATTGTGACGTCAGCACGTCGCGTTCACGTCAATGTATATACAACATATAAACACTCGAAATTTCAATGAAATCGATTTTGGACTCATATAAAACCCTTTTTTTCTTTCTTCTCTAATGTTCAAAACATTTTTTAACTAATAAAAAATCAATTTTTGGAAGTATCTACAATGGCCTTACCCCTTAAAATAACTATTAAAATTATTTCGCAAATTCAGATTTTAATTATACTGTTATGCCCTTAAACCAAAGAAGTATAAACAAAATTATAACTTGTTATAACTTTACCATTATTTTAAGAATGTAATAAAATTTTTTAAATCTTTATAAATTTTATGCTTTTGAAAAAATGTATATTACCACTAAAAATGTATACCATTTTTTTTAATTATTAAGTTACTTTTTCATATAGTAGACAGCAATTAACTGTTCAAGCAATATATCATAATTATCATCATCATAATTATAATCATCGTCAACAACATTTTTTATATAGTTATGTATATATAGCATTACATCAAAGTATTTCATGATAAACAACATTTTTTATATATAATTTATGTGGATATTCTGAATTCTTATATGCTGCAGAACCAATAACATGAATTTTTAGATTTTTTTTCGACTTTACTCGAGAACCAGCAACATAAACTTGACCATGACCAAATGCTGAAATTGGCAAATATATTCCTACTTTATCAAATGATTGACCCTGGGATTTATTGATAGTCATTGCATAAGCAAGTCTAACTGGAAATTGTCTTCTTACCATTTTAAAAGGTAATACATCTTGTGATGGCGATAAATCAATACGAGGAATAAATACTATTTCACCTTTATATTTTCCAGTAATTATTTCTGCAGAAATTACGTTTGTTAATAAAGATTTGACAACTAATCGAGTCCCATTACATAATCCTTGAACTAAATTCATATTTCTTAAAAGCATAATTATGCATCCTTCCTTTAATGATAGTTTATGAGGAGGTAAACCATCTGGTGTTAAACTGTTTAAAAATTCTATTGGAACTATATTATTTATATCTTTTGGGTCATCATCATCGACATGTGAATCATTACTATAATAAAATACTTCTTTTCCTTCTAATTTTAACAAAATGCGTTCATTCATGTCTAATACTTCAGAATTGGTTAATGAAAGAATGCAAGATGAAAAAACAGATGAATCATTTCGACTTATTGAGGATCCATATACTTTATGAATTAAATTCCCATTCGAAATCATATCTTGCGGAATTTCTAAAACATCATTTTCTCTTTCAAATGTACTTTGTGGTTTACCATCACCAACATTTAATAACCAGTTTGAAAATTCGATTTGATTATTATCTAATCTAACGTTAGAATGTAAAGACTTAGTTTGAAAATGATTCCACAATCTACTATTTTTTACACATACCTCAACAATATGAGTACGATTGCCGTGTGGAACAATTGGCAAAGTTTGTCGAAAATCTCCTGAAAGCAAAATAACTTTACCTCCAAAAGGTTTCTTACATTTTGTAATGTCTCTTAACATCAATTCCATTGCTTCTAAAGCATATTTAGGTGCCATTGTTATTTCGTCCCAAATAATAATTTTGGCACTTTTCAAAAGTTCAGCTTCTTTTGACCTCCCACTTATATTACATGTTGAATTTTCATTAATCGGTATAGGAAACTTGAACAAAGAATGTGATGTTCGACCACCTTTTAAAAGATTAGCAGCTATACCAGTCCATGCAACTGGTAAAACTATCAAGCCTTCACTTTCAACAGCAGTGATAATTGTATTATGTAAATAACTTTTTCCACTTCCTCCAGGTCCGTCGACAAAAATATACCTATTCTTACAATCATCGTTATGTATTGCCATCATAACCTCATCAAAAATTTGGCTTTGATCATTATTTAAACTCTCAATGAGAATAACAGCTTCTTTTTTCAACAATCGTAATCCTAATTCATTATTTTCTAAATCAACAAAATTATAATCATTAAGAAGTTTATGATCTATATTTGGCAAACCAAATTGATGTAAGGAAAACCCATGAAAGTTAAGTACTTCGTTAATTAAAATTAACGATTTTTGTATTGAAATTTCTGCAGGTAAATTATTATCAAAAACCATATACTCTTTATACTTATTCCATAAATCAACAGCATTCGCAGGCAATCCAAATACACATATATATGCAAACAGACGACAAAGTTCTTTAGGAAACTTCATACTTACAGCTTCAGATAAACAATTATCCCATTCATTATCATCTATCATTAAATTTCTTGCCTTGGCAGCTTCTACAAAAGTACTGTATGTGACACCTTCATATGTTCTTATGTCTGCATACGATTTAGCACCACGTACATATAGTAATAAAATTCTTAAAAAATACCTTTCAATATCTTTTGGACTGACAAAATACATGCGAGAAATTACAGGTTTTGTCATTCTTTTTCTTCTTTCCCAAGTTTTTGATGATTAAACGAATACATAATTATATGGTATTTCTGAGTACAAAAGTTGGCGTGCTTCAGGATCTTTTATATTTAATTCGAACCATGCTGTTAACGTTGTATTTTTATATTTATCAATCGCTTCTTGCTCCATTCCTTCTTTAAAACATATTGCTTGTTGATTAGGTAAATGCACAGCTAATCTGTATGCCGCATGTGCATATTAAATTCGAATAATCTATGCATTGCTTCTGGTGGACATACATAACGTGTATTCAAATAATGTTGAGGTTCATCATAGTGCATTAAATCATTATTATCTTTAATACCTACTATTGCACAATCATGGCCCTTAAAACAATACTTAAATAAGTATTTCACACCACCTATACTACCACATGCTACAACATTAATGTGACATTCAAATGTTTTACTCAAATACGGATTATATGGTACAATCATCGAATTGTCTGCAGTGCATTTGTTAGAATACTAGTCCTTTAAAAGAGTCATTTGGCAACCATGTAGAATAAATTTAATTTCAAATTAACCCAAGCATATAAAAGCATCGCAACGCAGCGACGATATGCTTGAGGATATTTGACACCCTGATAACGTCAAATATCTTACCGAGAGAATGCCTTTAACTAAGAAATGCCTATAAAATAGTTAGAAGGACAAAAGAAATTACTATTTCTTTTCTCCATCTACTAAATAATAAATATAATAAATAATTATTAATAATTATACCAACGCAGTCAATGCTGCCTACATCGAACCTTGCGGCAATATTGTGCGGTAAATAATAAATATAAAATTTGTACCCAATTATCTGTAAAACATAAGGGTAGGCGCAATGATGCAGCCAATATATATACCAATTGTCATTACTGTTTACAACCAAGAAAATACGCTGTGAGGTTGCGCGTGTGTGGGGATGGTCGGCGGCAACACACACATGCCTGCGCGACCGCCGCTTATGAACACCAGCACACTCACTGGTTTCCCCGGCTACAGAACTAATACCTTGAAGGCTTTCATGCTACGGACACCAACACAAGTGCGCTATGCTTGCCTCTAATCGCTGCCTGGTTGTGCGTAGAACTTTCCTCTCCCCTCAGGGCCCATAAGCTGTAGACTACAGCTTCAAAACAAACGCACGTGCGTTACAGCTGACGTAAACTACAAGGCGGCATGCCTTATGACACTTGAATTTATGAATCAAGTCAAGTGCACACAGAAACAATTTAACAATAGTTAAACATTTTGTTGTAAACATTGTTGTTACAACAAAATGCCGGAGGACATTAGGTTGTATGTATATGCATATATATATATATTACTCGATATGTAAAATGCATATACAAGCAACCTATAAAAAGTAGGAACAATATAATTACAATAAATAAATTATATACACTATTATAACTAAGATAAATAATAATTCTATTAATTAAACAATATAATTATTATTTAAATTCTAAGTTATTTCAAATAATATTTCAAAAAAGTATCATGTTAACAGACCGTTTCCGTTCTCACGGACCCACCGTGAGATCCAAAACGTCAGCAAAAATGCATAGACCAATGGGCCCATGACTTACTCCTACTACTTACTCCTACTCCTAAAAATCTTCCCCGCTTTGCACCAAAGGCAAGGGTTAGAGGCTTGTCGCAAAATTTCAATCATCGCAGTACGAATTCTCGCTTCTTCTCGAAGACACCTCTCCTGGGTCTAACCTAGAAAGTGTTTTGGGACAGAGAAATTTCGCGACAAAAAGCCCGTCCGCGACCCGGAACCCGATTTGCATGAATTAGGGCAGACGTTAAAATTTTCAAATTCTCTGAGCCGGTGGAGTCCAGTGCGGGCTGATTTTGGTGAGATTTTGGAATTGTTAATCTATTAAACAGTTCTAAAATCTTGTTATTTATAACCGGCCGGTTGCATAGATATTGCCCGCGTCCGTCTCAAATATCGGTGGCCCACGAGCGCGATCAAAACCAATTATCGAATTATCGGTTGCATAGATATTGCCCGGACTAATTCGGTAAACGGTAGATCCGCAGTGAGTTTTACACAGTTGCGTGAGACGGCCGGTTGCATAGATATTGCCCGCGTCCACTCGCCACAAGTGCAATCTCGCAAACGAAAGAAAATTGCGCGAATCTTACGTCGCGATTTTCGGTAGAAACAAGAACAAAAGAATTTTCGCCCGACGGATGCTTTGTGATTCAAAAGAGGAATAGCTCCGCCGGTAGTTTGTAAGTAAATAAGTATCGTTTCAATTTACATATTCTAACACACATACATTTTCTATTTGTAACACACTATAATCATTCTGTATTCAAAAGGTATTTTTCTATTCTAAAATAAATCATGTATTCATAGAATCAATTTCTTTACTTACCTAACTAAACCCTAAATTCAAATCATCTTAAAAATAGTGCATTTAACGAATCAGAAGGTAACTTTTAAAAGTAGGATAACGTCCCCACAAATTAAACAGAATAATAAAACATTCTGGCAGCTTGGTGCCTCCCCAAATCGAGATAAAGGGCCATCTCAAAAGCCTAATTAATAAATTTATTTCTGGTTTGTAACAAGCTGATGGTGGCAGCGGTGGGATTTTCCTACGCGTTACCGCCCTGCCCCGTTACCTGGTAACATTTGTTACCAGTGGCACCAATTTTCACATTTTTCAAAATTTAAAATTTTAACATAATCGCTAAATCAAGGGTCTCTGTTTCCTCTCTTATATCTTGCCTGTCTTTTCTTTATTAAATTTTTCTAAACTATATTAAATTCGAACCTTATAATTCATTAAACACAGGAATAATAAATATAAAATATATAAAGGATTACTGTCTTAGAGAAACTACGAATTTGGCTCTCCAACCAAAAGGTTGTTGATGATGACTTATTCTATGTTTTCGATTTTGGCTCTCCAACTGAAAAGTTGTTGATGACGACTTAATCAATTAAGACATTGACTTTTAGTATTTTACCTATTTTTCTATACTCCTAATTCCGATCAGAAAATTAAGACTTCTTGCTTTAAACGAAATTGGAAATTTGGCTCTCCGACTAGTCGTTGATGATGACTTAATTCTAATTTATTTCTGAAGCATTAAGTTTAAACAATTGATCGAAAATAGAAATGAGTTAAATTAAAATAGAAATAAATCTTCTTGTGATTATGAGTCAGGTTTTGAATTCCTAGCAAGTTTAGACGGCGCGGTAATCGTTTAAAAAAAAAACGAAATAGTGTATGTATCTCTAAACTGTTTCTAAGCAATATTTAATTCGAATCTTAAAATTGTTTAAACACAAGAATAATAAATATAAAATATATAAAGGATCTCTGTCTTAGAGAAACTACGAATTTGGCTCTCCAACCTAAAGGTTGTTGATGATGACTTATTCTATGTTTTCGATTTTGGCTCTCCAACTGAAAAGTTGTTGATGACGACTTAATCAATTGAGACACTGGTTTTTAGTATTTTAATTATTCGCTTATTCTTCCGTCTCTCATCAGAAAATAAGAATTCCTTGTTTTAAATAAATTGGAAGTTTGGCTCTCCGACTCGTCGTTGATGATGACTCATTTCTAATTTATCTTGGCTCTCCGACCGAAAGGTTGTAGATGACGACTCGAATAATTGAAACATTGAATTCAGACAACTGATGAAAAATAGAAACGAGCTTGATTGGAATGAAATATAAATTGCTTAGTGATTATGGAATTCATTGGTAATGCCTAATAAATTTAGGCGGCGTGGTCATCGTTCAACGAAACGAAACCGCACTAGTAAGGTTTCTGACCTTAATCCAGCTGAAACTCTAAACTTTGAAACTTCTTATACAGTTTCTTTTGAACATCCTTTAGGGCGAACTAATATTCCCCGACAAAACACTTTAACTTCTGAAAAGGAAATTTCGAATAAATTACATTATTTTGTGGTGTTCAATCCTAAATTCCCGTTTCATAAGGGTTCAGTTGTGAATAATCACGACTTGAAAAGGCTCTCCTTAACGTTAGTACAATCTGCTGACCTTCTTACGGATACCCCCATCTTACAACTGAGGGTTAGACGTATTGAGAATTTTAACAATGAAAAGGTAACGTTGAGGCAAGCCCCGCGAGAACAAGAGAAGAAAGTTAAGAATTAGCCCTAGAGCTACGCGAATTAAATAATTAAATTTTGCTTGTGTATTGTTAGTTTACTTTACATCCGTATGACAATCCTACAAAATTCTAATGACTTCGGAGTCATTGTTATTAATTCCGAGTTCTTACAAAACGAAGTAGTAAATGTATCACTAAACAATTTCTACAAACATAACTACATTTGTCAAACTGTTTTAAAACTAGACTGCCCCATATTAGGATACCCGACTGCAGACTACGTTAACGACACCTACGTGGACATTTTAGGCGTGGTGTATTTTCACATTGAAAATCAAGAAGTTTGTTTCTTTGTCGTAGACTCATTCTATTCAGATACCTGGATAATCACCCCGGCTATCCTTGGGCGAACTAGTTGCGTCGATTTGGCTTTCTTCTAAAATAATCCAAAAAAAAATTTTTCACCACCTACTACATCCTAATTCCTAAGTATCCATCAAAATTAATTATCAATAGTGTTTTAAAAGCATAATCGTTGGGACTAGTTTCGACTAATCCTAACGACTAGCAATACAACCTCGCCGTTTTGTGGGTACAAGGCCGCAGGATTGGAAAAACTTCTGGTCGAATCCTGGTGAGTTCCAATTGGAATTCGGAAAGCAGAAAATTTATTTTCTTCTTTCCCTTACACTAGGAAGCGCCGTTGTGAGTACTGATCGTCCCGCCTAGGAGAGCATCTCTGGCTGAACTTGTATTTTATCGCACTATTATAATCCAATCCAAATAAAATTAACTAAAATGACATCCTAAATGTCTTCCGATCCAAAGAAAACAAAAAGAGGAAAACGTGCCGGTAAGCGACGCATTT